CTGTCCTGAGCCCAAGCTGCAATTACATTTCTAGATTAATAACAAGCCCAGGAAAATAAATCACATCTGCCCCAGGAGTGAACCCAAAACCAAAGGCAGCCATGGAGAGGAATTTGTGAGTTGAGCTTAGAGTCAACCTTAATTCTGAAGGAAATGAACCTTTAACAAATAAAATTCAAATAACAATCAATGTAGACAAAACATTAATCTATATTGCTCTAATACATTTGGGACCTTTATAATATTTTTGTTCTCCTTAAATGGGCATCTACCAGAACAGAACTACTCTGATATGGCATAAAGCCAGACTCATTATAATAAAGACAACAACCCGTAGGTGTACTTTCACTTCATAAAAGAACATGCAGTCATTCAGACTTCCCTCCTTTAAGCACATTCCCAGACCCAAGAAACAAACCATCTGCCTACATGGACCACCATCAACTTGTTTTTTTCCACCTGAGCTTAGGCTAGTCCAGGAGACTTGGGACCTTTAAAAGCACAAACTCACGCCAGGTGCTGGTGGCTCACCTGTAATCCTAGCTACTCAGGAGGCTGAGATCTGAGGATCGCAGTTCAAAGCCAGCCCGGACAGGAGAGACTGTGAGACTCCTATCTCCAATAAACCACCAGAAAACCGGAAGTGGTGCTGTAGCTCAAGTGGTAGAGCACTCATCTTGAGCCGAAGAGCTGAGGGACAGTGCCCAGGCCCAGAGTTCAAGCCTCACGGCCGACCAAAAAAAAAAAAAAGCATAAACTCACATGATTTAGGTAGTTGCAACAGATAAAAAGGCTCTAAATTGGATCACAATAGAATCCTGCTCATATATATGGAAACCACACCAGAACAAGGCCAACTCGAGGTCTCTACACACAGCTGCTCACTAAGACTTCTGCTCCACGTTACTATGGCGGCAGCAGTAGTGACTTGCATTGAACACCTCTACATCAGGGTTGTGCAAGAAAAATGTACGAGAAAGATAGTATTCTAAATTTTCCAGGGGCCACTTAAAGTAAAAGCTGAGGGACAGTGCCCAGGCCCAGAGTTCAAGCCTCACGGCCGACCAAAAAAAAAAAAAAAAGCACAAATTCACATGATTTAGGTAGTTGCAACAGATAAAAGGGCTCTAAATTGGATCACAATAGAATCCTGCTCATATATATGGAAATCACACCAGAACAAGGCCAACTCAAGGTCTCTACACACAGCTGCTCACTAAGACTTCTGCTCCACGTTACTATGGCGGCAGCAGTAGTGACTTGCATTGAACACCTCTACATCAGGGTTGTGCAAGAAAAATGTACGAGAAAGATAGTATTCTAAATTTTCCAGGGGCCACTTAAAGTAAAAGTATATTAAATTAATTGAATATTGTAATTTATTTAAGCTCAATGTATCTATAACAATACAACTTTATAAAATCAATAATACAATAATATAATAAATATCATTAATAATATACTTTTCCATGTTAAGTATTCAAAATCAGGTATTTTACACTAGTCATAGAATTATTAGAATTCAGACTAGTTGCATTTCAGATACTCAAAAGCAAAAGGTGACTGGCAGCCACCAAACTGAATGGTATTGATTTAAGATGTTTAGCATGATTATTTGCTGAATAATTTTAATTACTTTTATTTGAAAATGTTCAATTTTTTTGGATTTAAAAATCTATTTAAGTAACATGATTCTCCCAAAAACTTTTCTTTTTGGTCAGTCATGGGGCTTGAACTCGGCCTGGGCGCTGTCCCTGAGCTCTTCAGCTCAAGGCGAGCGCTTTACTGCTTGAGTCTCATAGACTTTCCTGCCAGGGCTGGCTTTGAACCTTGATCCTCAGATGTCAGCCTCCAGAGTAGCTAGGATTACAGGCGTGAGCCACCAGCGCCCAGCTTCTCCCAAAACCTTAATAAACATGTTAATGTCAGGCAAGCACTAGGGCTCATACCTGTAATCCTAGCTACTTGGGAGGCTAAGATATGAGGATACTAGATCAAAGACAGACCAAGCAGGAAAGTCTCTGAGACTCTTACTTCCAATTAATCACTAAGAAACTGGAAATAGAAGTATGGCTCAATTGGTAAAGTACAATCCTTGAGCATAAAAAAAACATACAAACAACAACAACAAAAAAACAAGTAAGGGATAGTGACTAGGTCCTGAGTTCAAACCCCACTACAGACACAAAAATTAAAACACAGTAGATCACTCAATATCTATTTAGTTAAACTGAATGCCTAGGTTTCTCAGCCATATGATCTTACCCATTCTTTTCCAGATGGCCACAAACTTCATTTCCTTCCCTACTTGCCTAGTACAACTCCTCCTTTTCTATCAAAAGCCAAACCAAATAGTTCATTCTTCAACTCTACAGCTGAAAATTGCAAAGGGAATAATGAATAAAGTTGTAATCAGGTTTTTTAGATATGGGGGAAAGAACCAGAATAGAAAACATTCTGTAATGTGAACTTCTAACCTCAAAGTAACCAACCAGAGTCCTAAAAAGCAAATCAAAAAATCCCATAACAATAAACTGAACTTTCGACCCACTAAAGAAACTCAAGTCTTTATAAACCAAAAGATAAAAATGAAAAAAAACTCACAAATGAAATTTGTTATAGAAAAAAAAGACTAAATTTGGGCTGGCAATGTGGCTTAGTGGTAGAGTGCTTGCCTAGCAAGCATGAAGCCCTGGGTTCAATCCCTCAGTACCACATACACAGAAAAAGCCAGAAGTGGTGCTGTGGCTCAAGGGGTAGAATGCTAGCCTTGAGCAAAAGAAGCTCAGGGACAGTGCCCAGGCCCTGAGTTCCAGCCCAAGGACTGGCAGGAAAAAAAAAAAAAAGGCCTAGTTTTGAGCTCAGATTTGGAACCCAAAAGCTTTAGATTCAAACACTAACTCAATCATTATTTGCCTTGGGCAAAATATTTAACCCTTTTGAAATATGCATAATCATTTTTAAAAGGATACTCAATAAATCTCATTCCCAATAGTTTTTACAATTCTATGCAAAATAAAACACCATCATTAACACATTATTCTAGCACTAATGATTATTACTTAACACCTATGTTCCAGCCCCAATCATTTCTGAAACTTACAAGAAGCATAAAACAGTAAAGTGAACCTAGAGCTCCAAGGTCTTGAGTTCAAAAACCTAGTACTGGCACCAAAAGAAGAAGAAGAAGGAAGAAGAGGAGGAGAAAGAAGAGGAGGAGGGGAATACAAAAGTGAAAAAAGAAATGAAAAGGAGGAAGGAAGGATGGAAGGGAGGGAGGGAGGATGGAAGGGAGGAAGGATGGAAGAGAGGGAGGGTGGGAGGAAGGAAGGAAGGAAGGAAGGAACGAAGGAAGGAAGGAAGGAAGGAAGGAAAGAAGGAAGGAAGGAAGGAAGGAAGGAAGGAAGACCAGCAACTATATTACCACCCCATTTCATCTTCATCAGCATCAGAAGTCTTAATACCACCCAGTCACCATCCCACAGGGCAAAGTAGGATTAGGATAGACAGATTCCTCACAAATATCTAAGCCTACCCATTAACACTGTGAACATTTTTAAAAATTCAAATCTTTCTAGTTATTATTTGTCAAGCGATTAACTTTATAACAGATAAACTTTGAAAAAAAAACTTCTGAAAAATCTATGACAGAAATGGCAGAAGTTATAGCAAATACGACAGAAAGTATAGAAGTTTGAAGAGACGTCCTGGGAGTTTCTAGGTAAAGTCTAGTTTCTAGGGAAACCCAGTGAAGTACCTACAGAAAGGACAGCTTGGGCATTAGAAGCAGAAATGCAGGCTCTTCCAGACAAGTTAGGTTATTCAAGTTTTAAATTCTTTCTAGTTTTTCTAGTCATAGCCTGCAATAGCATAGAGTACTCTAAACAATTAGATGCTAAAGATAAGGGAGACCTGAAGAACATCCAGTAGAAATGACTGTAAGCCAGCACCAAGATTTCTTCACAGGAGATGGCCTATCACTGGGTCGGTAGCTTCTTCTTCTAACCTCAATTTATTCCTTAGGTTAAGCCAATCATCCCTCTTCCTCTCCCTCCCCCATCCCCTCCCTCTCCCTCCCCCATCCCCTCCCTCTCCCTCCCTTCCCCCATGCCCCTCTTTCATTCACTCAATCTCTCTCCCTCAGAATCCTTTTATCACTCCCTCTCAAAAAGAAAGGCTCAGCCTTCATTCCTTTATCAGTTTTTAACTGTCTCTTCTTTCGGTAGATAAGTAAGTCTGTATTGAAATAAAACGACATGTCTACATAAAATAACTCACCTTTCAAAAATAATTTAAAAAATAAAATATGAAAAAAGCCAAGCAGCTATAAAATCAAGCAAGATTACTCTTCTGATACCAGGCAGAAAAAACTACCTTTTTTTCCTATTTGCAAAAAGACAAACAAGAAAGGAGAAGCAGAAATGGAGGCTGCGTGCAATAATGATGTCATCCAGAGTGCCTGCCCAGCCTTTACTTTAAACACAACTGACAATACACAGGATTAAGAGCTTTTCCACATCACTACACTGTGTACTGTGCGTGGGAATTAAATTTTTTTGTTTTTGAAATTTATTTCAACTTTTAAATATTCTATTACTGCTGCTACTATTACTACTTCCACTACTGACCATGCTTGTTCAAAACTATGTGTAATAAACCTACAACTAAGAAAGCTTATTGTATTCTGGCATTTTCTCAAATACTTATTATGTTGTAAGTGTCAAGACAACGTGCGGTGGTTTCAAATAATAAGCTCAGGGGTTAGTGAGGTGGTTCTGTCACATCTGCCATAAAAGTAACACCAATACCTGTGGAAACACGTTTTCTCTAGGGAGCAAAGGTGAGCACATGGGATTAGCACAATGCCAGATGACCCAGCATGGAGATCCGGGCTTGTACATAAGCTGCTCCCGAAGCAGCCCTAAAATCACTTGTCCATAGAGCCTACTTCATCAGCCACCTGATCCACTACCAACCCACAACCTGTGCTCTGTACACACCTGTCCATTGCGGAGGACAGCGGCAGTTGTAAGTGTTGACCCCATCCACACAAACCCCTCCATTCTGACACCGGTGGTTAGGGCAGTCGTCAACGTTTCGCTCACAGGTGCTGCCTTCAAAGCCTGGTAAGAGAAGAACAAAAGGAAAAGATGAGTCCTCATATAAAAGTATGCATTCTCCTCTTTCCCACAGGGCACCATCATCTGACAGACCTGCTTCGTGATTGTAGTTCAACAGGTACTCAACATAGGACTCAGGTATTAGAAACTCCCCATTCAGGGTAAGGGAGGGAGGGCACAAAAATAGAGGAACAAAGGGTGAACAAATGCAGCAGGGGTACTCACTAGACACTATGTTGAAAATGAACTATACAACTTGTGGGTGGGGACAGGAGGGAAAAACTGGGAGAAAGAGCAAGGGAAGGGGTGACACTGTCCAAAAAGAAATGTGCTCTCTACTTGACTTACTTAACTGTAACCCTTCTTTACATAACCTTTATAATAACAATAAAAATGTTGAAAAGAAAAGAAAGAAGAAACTCCCTAACCCTCTGCTTCTCTGAACTGTCTAGCTATCTAGATAATTGAAGTGATCCACTATACCACACACTTATGTAACTACCTCGTAAGTATTCCAAAGTGTTTCCACAAAATAAAATCCCTAGGAAGACAAATGTTTCTTTGAGACAGCTAGTAACTGATTCTAAAAACTAAGGTATTAGATTTCCCCCAGCTCCACATAAGACTACAAGAAAAAAGATGAAAGATTACCTAATTAAATTTATGACTCTTATTTTGTTTTCCATTTAAATGATATGTCTCTGACCCTAAAACTGGAAAGAAGGGAGAAAGGGAGAAAAAGTATGAAGGCGTGTTAGGTCTCCAGGTTATGACCTCCACACTGTTTAGCACACAGTAAGTGACAAACTCTGAGTCAGCTTCTGCATCTGTAAAAAGGGACTGATTCCACCTGCCCAACCAGCCTTTCTGGATTGTTCCAAGAGCCATATCATGAGTAAAGTACTACACAGATGTTAACAGCCTCAGAAAGTGGATGGTATTGACACTAATTAAAACTTGCAGCACTTTAAATTCTTCATGTTTCTCTCTACATGAATGGTATATTTATAATGTGGCTCCCTTCACCTACAGTTTTCTTTTTTGGAAAGATAAAAGTAGGATACTAAGGGCTGGGAAGGTGGCTCAGTGGTAAGAGAGCTTGCCTTGCATGCCTGAGGCCCTGGGTTCGATTCCCAGCACCACATAAGCAAAAAAAGAAAAAAGCCGGAAGTGGCGCTGTGGCTCAAGTAGTAGAGTGCTAGCCTTGAGCTGAAGAGCTGAGGGACAGCGCCCAGGCTCAGAGTTCAGGCCCCACGACTGGACCCCCAAAAAAAAAAAAGTAGGATACTAAACCTTATCCTAATTGGCTACAGGATGGTCTTCTGTAATTTATATATTGGGCTTCTTTATTTTCTCTTGCTACTAAATCTCTGAGGTACTACACAGAGGACTACCAGCCTTAAGACAAAAGAATGTTCAATATAGTAGGACTATATTGATAGAGATATGACATCTCTCTTAAGGTTCTTATCTCAAGGAAGTAGAGTTGTGGTACAAGTGGTAGAATGCCAGCCTTGAGCAAAAAAGAATCTAAGGGTCAATGCACCCAGGCCCTGAGTTCAATCCCCACTACTGGCATATACATACACACCAAAAAAAAAAAAAAAGTTTGCTCACGCAAACATGAGCCAGTGGCTCATGGCTATACTCCTCAGGAGGCTGAGATCTGAAGATCATGATTCAAAGGCAGCTTGGGCAGGAAAGTCCATAAGACTCTGGGAAATGGTACTGTGGTACAAGTGGTAGAGTGTTAGCCTTGAGCACAAAGAAGCTCAGGGTCCAGGCCCAGGCCCTGAGTTCAAGTCTCAGGACTTACAAAAAAAAAAAATTCTTAGGTCTTACAGTAGACTCTGGTTCTGGCTGAGTCCTTGTGGCACATACAGCCATGATGGAGCAGATGTTGACCAGCCTTGCTCTAGTCATTCCTTACCACAAGCCACTGTAAATTCCACCTCTGCCTTGCTATCCTAGAATATGGGGAATGGCATAGTAGTCAGGAGAATGCGTCTAATTCAAGTAGCCAAAAATATTACCCAGAAAGCAATCAAAGGAAATCACTTTATGGAAGAAAGAATCTGCATGCTAGATTCAGGAAAATTACACTTCTTCAGGTATTTGGTACTCAGTCTGTTCAAGCAGCTAAGTCACTACATAAACCTCTGACTGTGGAAATACACACTTGGATTTTTGTGGGTGTAGGTGTGCCAGTAGTGGGTTTTGAACTCATGGCCTTGCACATGGCTTTTTTCCTCAAAGCTCACAATCTACCACTTGAACCATACCTATACTTTTAGCTTTTTTGCAGGTTAAGAGTCTCTCAGATTTATCTGCCCAGAGTTGGCTTTGAACCTCTATCCTCAGATCTCAGCCTCCTGAGTAGCTAGGATTATAAGCATAAGCCACCAGCAGCCAGCTTACAGTTGGATCTTCAAAAGTTTATCTTATCATTCATATTTGTCTAATCATATAAAAGTCTTGCAAATGGCTAGTGAGCCAAAAAATGATGAAATGTTTAAACCCACTTCTAATTATGATAAAGTGAAGCCAAGGCTTCAGCTCTACTGCATAGCAGCTGCTGGGTGAGAATGGGATCTGGGTTCCTCATCAACTTCTCTTAATAAAGACACTCTTCAGAAAAGTTTAAGTGAGGGTTTTAGATGGAGGAGCAAGGCTTCTGGCGAGCCAACGCCAGAACTTGGGTGGTCTAGGGGTGTTCTAGAATCATGAATGGTCATCTTCTCCCTATCTCTCCAATGCCTGCGGCCAAAAACATTGAATAGATGTCAGGGAAGCGGCAAAGTCCTTGTAGCTAAACTACAAAAATAGAAATGGACCCTGACATATTAGCCAATGTTACAACTGACTGGATTCATTAACCACATACAAATCGAGAAAGCTGGCGAGAAGTGAGGAGGAATGGATAGCAACTCATAAGGGGAATATGGATTCTTGTGAACACACATCTATTCCTTTTTGGGTGTGTGTGTGTGTGTGTGTGTGTGTGTGTGTGTGTGTGTGTGTGTGTGTGTGTGTGTGTGTGTGTGTGTGTGTGTGTGTGTGTGTGTGTGTGTGTGTGTGTGTGTGTGTGTGTGTGTGTGTGTGTGTGTGTGTGTGTGTGTTCCTATACTGCAGCTTGAATTCAGGGCTTCGTGCTCTCCCTTGGTTTTATTGCTCAGGATTAGTGCCCTACTACTTGAAGCCCTCCTTCCATTCTCTACTTTTTGCTGGCTAATTGAAGACAAAATATCATAGACTTTTCTGCTGGGGCTGGCTTGAAACTGTAATCCTCAATCTGTCTCTTGAGTAGCTAGAATTACAGGCCTGAGCCACTAGCACCAGGCTGGTTATACATACATATGTATTTTAAAAATAAGTAAAAAGTTATTTTATTGTACAATTTACAAAATGGTATGGTATGTAAATTATATCTCAATAAGGCTGTTAAACTAGTGAACATATATTAGCTAATATTATGTATCAATGGAATTGCAGCATCCACTAGAGATTCTAAGCTCTATTTATGCTGCAGAGAAGGAAGAGCAGAGCTACTTGGCTGACTTGCCCATGATTGCATGGGCAAACATGAACCAAACCAGAAACTTTAGCCAGTTTTAGTCAATGTATTCTGGACTCTTGTGTTCACTTTCAGCGATCTGAAAAACTGACCTTAGGTCAAAGTTCCCGTCTCTTGAGGTTTTAAAAAAAAAAAGCTAAATCATTTCTCCCCCCAAGCTAAGATAGGATTTATATTTTTTAAAAAAAGAGAGACAGAGAGAAATTCTGAACTTTTTTTGGAAAGAGCTAGCAAATTCTTGCAAAACAGTCTCTCCAAAGATCAGGAGAAAGGCAGTAAGTTATAGTACAGTCACTTCTTAAAAATATATTTTAAGTTTTGTAGAGGAAAGGGAAGCAGACAAGCCTCCAGACCTGTGGGTGGGATGGGTGGGACCGAGTCATGGAAGGGCTCACATAGCCATACTAAAAGGAGTCTACAACTCTAAGCCAACTGGAGTCCTTAAAAGGCCAAAAGGAGAGAAATTAAAACTTAGAAGGAACATTTTAAGACTATGCTGTTATAAAACTGCAGGCCACTTCTGTGATTAATGATGGTCATAGTAAGGGTAGGACAAAAAAGTCTTCTGAACTTGTCATCCCACAAGGAGAGCAATGTCAGGCCCTGGGGGGTTTGAGGGTGGAGAGCAGCAAGAGGAGAGGATTGTGGGAAATGAGATTACTTAACTAGTATGCTTTCCAGCCAGGCAGAGAAAAGCTTCCATGTACAGACACAAAAGAGAGGGGTGAGAGCAGGGATACCTTGAACTGGAGAAAAGCCAAAGAGGCTACCTTCCTCTCACCCACCACCTCCAGAAAGAAGTCTGTCACAAAAGCTAACCTGCCAAGATATGATCTGATTAGTATAATACTCAAAAGAATGCCACATGCTTCTTAGTATGAAATTGCAAAAGGGACTGTTTTCTAACTGGCCTTCAGTTCAGCAAAACTCACAGACATCAAAGCTACAAAAGATGTGCAGGCTTTATTTAATGTATAGGATGGCATGTATAGCAGCCTGTGAAGTATAGAGGTGCCTTACAAAGGATAACCATTAATGACAGAAGAGGACACATCAAGCAGCTTCCTGCGAAGTTTAAAAGAAACAGAAGCTGGGTATTGCTGGCTCACAATTGTAAACCTAGTTATGCAGGAGGCTGAGATCTGAGGAATGATATTTGAAGCCAGTCCAGGCCAGCAAGGTAAATAAAATACTATCTCTAATTAACCAGAAAAATGCCAGACTAAAGGCATGGCTCAAGAGGTAGAGTGTCAGCTGTTGAGTAAGCCAAAATGATAGTGCCAGTTCAACCCTTAGTACCAGGATATAAAAAGGGAAGGTTGGGAGGGAAGAAGGGAAGGAAGAAGGAAGGAATATGCAATAGACTCAAAACTGATGCTGTTTTCTAGTTACTTGTGCAACTTATTAAAATATCCACAAACACAAAACT